CCCTCAGTTCTTTCAGTTTAGAGAGTGTACTTCCCTTTTAGTTTTTTAACTCTAGGTCTTTGCACATTTCATTATAATACTTGACTCTGTCTTTTCAAGCTGCCCTTTGAAATTTTCTGTTTAGCCCTTTACTCCCTCATTTCTTCCATTTGCTTTTGAATCTCTATGCTCGAGAGGATGTTTCAGAGTCTCTTCTGACATACATTTTGAACTTTTCATTGTTTCTTGTCTTCTTAATGATCTTTTGCTTTCTTCCTGTATGATGTCATCATCACACAACTCTTCGGATTTTTGGTCATTAGCATCTAATGTATGAACTCTGTTCCTGAGATGATCTCTATGTCCAAGGTCATATTTTGGCTCTCACTGACTTATGTAATTTCTTTCAGCTTCAGCATGAACTTACACATGAGCAACTGATGATGTGGAGCTTTCCAGCATCTCTTCCCACAGATGTATAATTTACACATGTATTCAATTTGGTGAGGTCCATGTGTATAATCATCTTTTATGTTCCTTTAAAAAAGGTATTTGAAATGAAGAAGTCATAGGTATTGCAAAATTCTATCATGCATTGTTTTCCAGCATCATTTCTATCACCATGGCCATATTTTCAAAGTATAGATCCTCTTTGTTTCCAACCTTTGCATTCCATTCACTAATAAATATCAATACTTCTTGATGGCATGTTTGATCAATTTCAGACTGAAGAAGCTGATGCTGTTGCTGTTAAGTGCCATCGAGTCAGTTCCAACCCATAGCGATCCAGTATAGGGTTTCCGAAGAGCATCTGGTGAGCTTGAACTGCCAACCTTGCAGTTCAAATGGCTTTGCAATAGATTTCTTCAATTTCATAATCAATGGTTTTAGTGGTTGGTGCATAAATTTGAATAACAGTGGTATTGACTATAACTAGTCTTCCTTGCAGGCATATGGATATTATCCCATCACTGACAGAACTGTACTTCAAAACAGATCCTGAAATGTAAAGCTGATGTTCTCCCATATAAACTATCACTTAATTCACAATAAAAACTTAAAAAAAGAAAAAACCATATCCTGAATTGTTCTTTTTGATGATGTACTTTAAAATACCCCTTCTTAATCAGATAGTTTTTCCCTTCAGAGTGTAAATCCTAACTTGACCTCTCACCTAAACTGTTATAAAACAAAGCATATGTTATGATTCCATCCAAACAAAAGCTAAGATAACTTTGAAATTAAAATTACTGAACGGAGGCACAAAAAGACTCACAGGCACACCATGCTCCATTAGTACATTGGGGTTCATGATGGTGACTAACTGATGTAGCAGGTCAGGCTGAGACTCAAATAACTCAGGGGCCAGCTCCCTCATCACCTCTTCCAGTTGTTCTGCAGCATGAGATGGTACACCATACCATGTCTTTGGCTCCCCCCTAGCAAAAGAAATAACTGTTTAGCTAGGCAAATAAAGCTGGGGTCAGCATCAAACCTAACAAATTACAGCTAACTTATGTCTTGTTCCATGGCCATCAATTATATGCCCTGAATCTTGACAACCAGCTCATAAATCTGTGCTATTGTTCATAATATGTAAATAAGCACCCTTTTATGGACAGGTAGATAAAACAGCATAGATACTAGAAAAGCAACTCAAAGCACATTAAGTCTTTAAGGTAGATCAATAAAAGTATCTTTGTTATAGAATGAATTATGTCCCCCAAAAAATGTGTCGTAAATTCTAACGGGAAAGGGCTAACTTTGCTATGTTAATGGGGCGGGGTTAGTGTGTAGGGTGTTATCTTGAGTCAGACGCTTTTGAGATTAAAAAAAGATTAAAACAAGTAATCAAGTAAGCATGGATGGGGGAAGATATGCCAAGCCACACAGAGATCACCCATGAGCAGAAGTTCAAAAATACAAGGACCTTCCTCCAGAGCTATTAGAGAGCAAAAGGCTTCCCCTAGAGTCATCACCCTGAATTCAGACTTCCACACTAATAAACTGTGAGAAAACGTATTTCTTTGTTAAAGGCACATTTTATTTCTTTAACAGCAGCACTAGATAACAAAGACAATTTGGTACCAGGAGTGCAATATTTCTTTAACACTACAAGTGGGGATTGATTTTGGAATTGGGCAATGGGTGGAAGCTACAAGAGTTTTAAGGTGCCTAATTGTAAAAAGGTACCCTGATGGCACTGCAGAATAAGCAATGGACTGCTAACTGCAAGGCAGGTAGTTCAAACCCACCAGTATCTCTGAGGGAGAAAGATGAAGCTTTCTGCTCCTATAAAGATTAACAGTCTCAGAAATCTTACACAGGTCTGCTGTAAATCAGAATTGACTTGATGGCAGTGAGTGAATGAATAATAAAAGCCTAGCTTGCTCTGAAGAGACTGCTGGTAGAATTACAGACATTAAAGGCAATTCTCATAAGGGCTCTGAAGGAAGCAAGGAGAGCTATAAAGAAAATCTGTATCATCTTACACGTATGGCGCCAGCAACCGAATGTTACAAGAAATGTGAATGTTAAATGTGCTTCTAAGGGAGGTTGTGTTTTTCTTTAAATGATAAAAATGTGATTGAATAACGGAAGTTCATTGCTTTGTTTTGTTTTGATTTTTTTTAGTTCACTGCTTTTATTCAGTGGTAAAGAATTTATATGAAGTACATTCAAATGTTTGGTGGAAGGCAGAGAACTTGTAGGTGATGAACCTGGATGACTACCTGATAAGATTTCTAAGCAAACTCTTACAGGGGGCCACGTGATCTCTTCTTGAGACAGGAAACAGATGGACTTAAAAATGAACTATGCAAGTATTCAAAATGGAGGTGGTGAGTGGGTGGGATCAGAGTGGGAGGCACAGAAACGGTGGGATCATGGCAGCCACTAAGGACTGGAGAGCTGAAGAGTAGGAAAAGGAAAAAGAGCAGTTGGTTTTGGTGGATTTGTCAGAATTATTGATTCCGACTTTCAAAATGTGAAAATAAATGTAAAATTTTGGGCATTGACACTGATATGCCTATTATGCAAGTGGACAACTATGTCTTTGCTGGGGAATATGAAGATATTCTTGAGACCTGTGTTATATTTTTGAAGAAGATGTGGAGGAACATGTGGATGCAGAAAGCAATAAAAACAGTGCTAAAATATAAATGCCATACAATGAAGAAGCTCGGCATGACAAGAACTCTTCTGACAAAAAAAGGAAGAATAAACCATAGGTGGCGTGGAGTGGCTTCAAATCAATGATACTGATTCCTCCAGGAGACTCAAAATGATTTGTAGCTTTCTACATGATAATGAGGAGTCCTGGTGTGGCGCTGTGGGCTAATATGCTGGACTGCATTCTTGCTTAAACCATAAGGTCAGTGGTTCAAGCTCACCAGCTGCTTCTTGAAACCTTATAATGGGTCACTATGGGTCATAACTGACTCGACAGCACTTAACAACATGATAATGAAGAGGAAGAAGTTGTAGCTCCAGTCCCATATAAACCTGTGGAGCTGAAGGGAAAAGAGATGCAAATGAAAGATAACTCAGACCTGAATTATGAACAGGGAAAAATCACTTCACTTGTAAATAGAGGACTCTGATTCTCTTACTGAGATCCCTTCTTTTGATACAGAAGGTTTTATTTTTATGGAAAGTCAGGATGCTTCCTTAGAATCTACTCCTATATAAAATGTCTCTCATATCTAAGCATGACCTTACTTAGTTTTTAAGTCAAATAATTGGCTCTGTAGCTTCTAGATGTTCATCTATTTTGTTATTTCTGTTGGCGCTTTCCAAATGTAGCATAAGTTAATACAGCAGTTATGTAATATTAAGACCAGAATGAATTGAATTAAATAAAAAAACTAGTTTAAATTATCAGACTCTTCTCTAATGAATCCTTTACATTTGGATGTTTTACTAAGCTAAGTGGATTAGTGTTCAATTACAGGGGTCACAAATTGCTATATACTTGTGTTGATAGCTGCCATGGAGTTGGCTCCTGACACACGGTGACTGTTGGGAGACCAGAGTAGCAACTCCTTGAATTGAAAACAAGCCTGATGCTGCTGGGATGCCAAGCTGCATTTCTTGCTCTGTATCCCACAACATTCCAAGAGCCTGGTGCCAGATCACATCCAACAAAGTGTATTGTGTCCTGTGAGTATGACTATCATTCCAAACCTGTGACTCCTGCGACTGTTCAGCCAGAGAGAGCATCATAACTGCCTACCCTTGGCCACCTTTTACGTGGGAGAGAAATAAACCTCTCTCTCATTAATGTGATTCTGTTATATTCAAATGTCACCCCAATTGATATACTGTACATTTTTTAAAACATGAAAAATCTAGAAAAGGATAAAAAAATAGAGTGGAAGATTCTTGAAATTTTAATTTTAAAAAAGAAATTAATCTAGACTACAGTATAGCTCTACCTTTAGTTGGAGAGGAAAATAAAAGTCTTAAATTCTAAAGAGAAAGTGGTATTAGGTCCCTTCCTGTTAATAAGAATAAATATTTGATGTTTAGTCAAATAAAAGTCATATTTTTTAAAAAAAAATAAACTATGCAAAACAAAAACAGAAGTTTGAGACTTGGAAAACGCTGTTGGACAAACTAAGTTCACATATCCTAGAATATTCACACAAACTTTTGTTAAAGAGATCAAGCCTGTTATTGATGGATCTAACCAACTACTACCACAATAGAAAACCCATCAGCGTAAACTGAGGAGGAAAGAAAAAGGGTACAAGAAAAGAAAGCTGTCTGCTTTTTGTAATTCCATTGACAGACACAGTCCATAATGGTTTCATCTATTGTCCTCCAAAACAAGACAAGGAGCATTCCCGATGCAGCTCAGAGATCAGCTGAACTGTTGGAAGAAGTCTAAGAAGAAGGACCTTCTCCATTTCCAAGGGTGAAGACATAGTCTCCCAAATCTCAAAGGGTGGATCTCTGTCCACTAGGTTTTGGAGTGTAGGGCTACCATTAAGGTATGCCAAGGAATAGGGCTACTGCCAATCCCAAGGGGCAAAGCTAGAACCAAGAGGGTGGAGTCATCTTGCAGAGAGACTAGGAGAATGGGGAAGCCCAAAGACAAAAGAACCTGGAAAGTGTAGCTGAAGTCCAGGGCCAATGGGTCCCCACCCAGACTCCAGAGGGCCTGACCAACATTCAGAGTCTACAGTACCACTGACAGATGATCTCAGAGAAAAAAAGGAATTTCAAGCTTTGAAAGCTAATTAATTTGTTCTGCTGGGTTTGGACTTGCTTGGTGCCTGTTATACCTTCTTTCCCTCAAATTTCTCCCATTTATAATGGAAATGTCTCCCTTGTGCCTATTATGCCATTATATTTTGGAAGCAGATAATTTGCATTATAGTTTCTCAGTTCACAGAATTTGGTAAGGTCATATCCATATTAGATTTAGATAATTTAGAAGATGGTATTTTGGACTTGGAGATGATTTAAGATTTTTGTGATAATGGGATGTGGTGAATGTTTTGCATGTGGCAAGAACATGAAATTTGGGGATAACTAAGACAATCTTCAACAGGAAAAGACAATATATGAAAAGTACGCACTTTTCAAAGCTACTATAACACATTACCTTCAAAAGTCCATAGGTATTTCCACCTACCCACAATAAACAGAGTAAAAGTCAATGCTCCCTAGAATGTCTTTAAATAACTTCATTTAGTTCAAAGGAAATAAGGCAAGCCTAAAAATCATTAGAACTTTGACTACAATTCTCCCTATAAACCTTGAAAGGAATCTTGGTGGTACAGTGGTTAAGCTCCACCGCTAACCAAACAGTCAGTGGTTCAAACTTACCAATTACTCCATGAGAGAAAGATGTGGTAATCTTGTTCTGTAAAGATTTTTAACTTTGAATAACCCTATAGGGGCAGTTCTACTCTATCCTGTAGGGTTACTATGTGCCAGAATCAACTCAATGGCAAAAGGTTTGGTTTGTAAACCTTAAGGACCAAAACCAAATTATCATTAATTCAATAGACTAGAATTCCTTTACAGTACTAACTTATCCTCTAAAAAGACATGGACTTAGTCATGGTAATGTCAGAAAAGCAGAATTTCTTAATAGTAACATAATTCATGAAGTCCTGGTGTGGTGCTGTAGGATAAACACTGGACTGCCAACCAAAGCCTTAAAAGCTAGTGCAATTTGTTCTGCTGGATTGTGGACTTGCTTGGTGCCTCTTATCCCTTCTTTCCTTTCAATTTCTCCTGTTTGTTCAAATTCACTAGCTGCTCCTCAGAAAGCCTATACAGGGGTCACTATAAGTCAGGACTGATTCGACAGCACTTAATAAAAACAAAAACAATACAGTTCACAGGGCTACTGGTATTTCTGTAGGGTAAACACTGCACTAGTGAAGTGTAAAGTTGGCAGTTCAAACCCACCAGCCATTCTCAGAAGCCCTATATA